TATGCCTTCATGAATAACTGTGTCGAAAGCTTTGCGAAAATCTACAAAACAAGCATATAGCCTTTTATTGCCAGTGTTGATATATTTGTCAATTAGACATTTTACTACGAATAAGTGGTCTGATGTTCTGGATTCCTTTGAGAAACCTATTTGAGTTTCATGTATTATTTTATGTTCTATTAAATATGTATTAAGCCTGTTATTTAAAATGATATTAAAAAGTTTTGCTATGCTATTGTTTATTGTTATTCCTCTATAGTTTTGGGGTAATTTAGGATTATCTGATTTAAAGATTGGTGTTGTATAACCCTCTAGCCATTTCTCTGGATATATTCCAGATGTTAATACAAGATTAAATAATTTCAGAATACAGGAGTTTATGTAAATTTGGGATGCTTTTATCATTTCATTTGAGATGTTGTCTAGGCCAGGGCTTTTCCCAGACTTTAAGGAGTTGATGGCCTTTTGGATTTCAGGTGCAGATATCATGAAATCCAGTTTATTAAAAGAGGTAGCCGCCTTATTGTTTAATAATTCATTAATTTTAGTTTCAATTGTGTTGATTCTTCCTTTGTACTTTTCTGGTAGTTTGGATAAAGTAGTAAAGTAGTTTAACCATGTATTTTCATCAACTGACTTTTCTAAATTTTCTTTTGTGTTTTCAGTTTATCTCAGGTATTTAATCAGTTTCCAATATTCTTTAGGATTATAGCTATTCATTTGTTAAAACTACATGTACACCTCAAGAAACCATCAGTTTTTTGTTTTCCTAGGTGAAAAAAAAACTTATTTGGACAAAATGGATAACTTCTGAGCTGCTTTATACCCTTCCTTGGTTTACCCTTTGAATAATGCTGAGACTGGCCATTTGAAAAATATAACAATTTAAGGACGGGGAAGCTAGAGAGGAAAAATTACTTTTCGAATCTGAAAAAAAACTAGATAAAAATATTGAATAAACAGAAAAAGGGGAAATTGTTCCCATTCTGGTTTCGGAAGGGAGCGGGGATTATAACGTCTCTCAGTGCCAATTTTATTTATACCTTTAAATAAAAAGTAGGGGCGGACTGGTCTTTCAATACACATTTTCAGCAGTATATTTGATTTCATTGTCGCAAACCACGCGCCCAAAATGTACGATATCCTATCATAAAGCGGACTTAGGACCATGGCTTAAGACGATGGTTTGATGTAAGACGGGGGGTGGGGGGGGGGGGGGCGCACACCTGATGCTACTAAATGTGTATGTGCCCGACATAGAAATATTGATTATATTCCAGGAAGGATGTGTACATCCAATAATTTTGCCAGCATATACTCTTCTGAAAGAAAAAAAAAAGCTTTAGACAGTACATGGCACAATTCAATAAACCAGATCTATTCCGGTACTGATCTTCCATGAGTGTGACTGACATAAGAAATGACCAATAACGTGTACTGCTGTTCAGGATGTTGCAACCTTTCCATTCCTGTTTTCTCAGGGCCATCAGAAGCAATTCAATTTGGGGGAATATATGTTCAATAGGGAAGGGGGATGGGGTACATGTACATATGCAAAATTCATTTATAAGCAAGAAATAAAAAAATGATACTACATGTTACAACAAGAGGCCCAGGGGCCATATCGCTCACATGAGCAACTGGCTATGTAAAACCTAGAAGGAAAAATCAGTTAAGTATTGAAAAGTTTAAATATAAGAGTGGGTTCAAGGGAGGAGGGGAGGTGTGTATTTGAACAAACTTCAATCTATACTTCCTACGGATATTTTTAAATAAAATTGGTACATAATGGCTTTGCTGTTTAAAATAAGAGCAATAAAGCCTTAATGTTCCTTTGCATAACTATGATCCACCTTTATGGCTCCTCCATTCTTCTGGTTGGTCATGATTTGAAAAAAATTGAATGTACACTTCCAGAGGATGCTTCCATATATAATTCTGACCAAAGAGTGCAAAGATGATTGTTGGTTTTGTATTCATGCATGTTTGTTACGTACGTGGTCGTTGATTTTGCTTTAATGTATATTTGTTGTGCGAAAACGTCTGTTGATTATGCATTGTATATAATTTGTTAAGTTTTTATGGTCATTGAAATTAAAATAATTGTTTATTTTCACATTATGGTAATTTTTGCCCTTTCCGCTGCCCATAACAATTGTAAGAGAGAGAGAGAGAGAGAGAGAGAGAGAGAGAGAGAGAGAGCCACCTCCATTCTCATATATCTGTTATATCGAATAAAAAATCATATTTTTTTCCTAAATATTCCAGGCAAAGTAATCATTTTTTGAAGATTAACAAATCCATTTGACAGTAGGCACTGGCTTTTATTTTCCTTCATCAAGTTCACACGGTTCACTCGAAGTCCACGTGCTTGTCCTGTCAATCAAAATCATTCGACACAGGGGTGGAGGTGTGGAAATCTCGTTTCACCGAACATGCGGAGGTCAAAGAGTCACTTAGTATTTCCAAGAAGTTTTAACATTTTTTACATAATTTCTACATCTGAATTTCGCAATTCAGAAGACAAAATAATGGGAATTTATACCTGGAAGGATTAAGTATGAAACTGAATTGGAAACATAGTCTCTGCTAATTTAAAATACTACTGTTGGCACATGTATATTTTGAAATACTATTATTTAATGACTGTACGTTTTGATGTTCGTTTTAAGACTGATTTTCTTGTGTCATAATACACGTTAAATATTAATTATAATATACTGAAAATACTAACCAAGAATTATATTTCGGGAGAAAAGGCGCGGGGGGGGGGGCTTATTAAATCATTCTAATGTATTACATTTTAAACAATTGGGTTTTTTTTCTAAAATCACACTATCAATTAAATTCGACCTAAAGATATTCAATTAACTGAATATCTGCAGTACTGTTCATAATTCTCAGACGTACATGTAGTTCCATCATGTTTTCGTGCATTTTTTATATACTTGTTAAAAATATTTTATTTTGTGTATTCTTGTCTTGTAAAAAAAATTGGATTATTATCCATCCGTTAACGATTTGTCGTCTTTTACATTACAACAAACAGAAAGACAAATGGACATGAAATCTATAATATAGTACTTCCCGTCTTAAAAAAAAGGGCGTATAAAAAGCGTGTTATTAAAAAGTTAATTTAAAACATCATACGTATGTGCAGAAAATATCGAAAGAACTTACATTAATAATTTTTTTTCAAATACATGTATCGTCTTTCTGTGGAATTTTCTTAAATCTGTTTTATGTAACTGATTATTTATTAATTTATATCTGTTAATTGCTTATTTATATTTTAGCAGCTTACATTAAAATACAATAGAATAGTTTCAATGCAAGGAAAAGATCAGAAGGATTCCGAATAAATAGTTCATCTGGCGTTCACCTTTCGTTCACCGTTCACTTTGCACTCGCGTTTTCGCTTCAATTGCGTTCTGCGTTTGCTCACCGTTCGCTCTGCGTTCGTTCGGCGTTTGTTCACCGTGCGTTCACTGTTCAGGTGGGAATGTGGAAAGTTTCAGGGACTGTAGCTCTCTTAAGTACGTATCAACAGCTGAAGTTTGATAACACTATCTTGGTGGCTTTAAAACTGAGCTAAACACTCATTTATAATAAGAACAAGATGTGTTTGTGAAACACTATGCGCCCGGCGGCAACAAATTTTTAAAACAACATATCTTTAGCATAAAGGTCACAGTGAAGGTCACAAGGTCATTGATCTTGATGTGATTTGAAAGATCTTGATTAGAGAAGCATGCGTACCAAATATGAAGTCTCTATCTTTTATGGTTCAAAACTTATGATGAATGTTCAAAAAAGATATTTTTAGCATATAAGACACGTCAAGGTCACAATGTCATTGACCATGGTGTCATGTGAAAGGGCTTCATTAGTGGAGTAAACATGCCATATATGAAGTCTCTATCTTTTATGGTTCAAAAGTTATGGTGAATGTTCAAAAAAGCTATTTTTAGCATATAAGAAACAGTCACAAGGTCAACCTTGGTCACAAGGTCATTATTAAGTCTCTACCTTGGTGTCATGTGAAAGGGCTTCATTAGTTGAGTATGCATGCCAAATATTAAGTCTCTATCTTTTATGGTTCAAAAGTTATAGCAAAGGTTAAAGTTTGCAATAAAACCTCTATTTTTAGCATATAGGTCACAGTCAAGGTTACAAGGTCAATGACCTTGGTGTCATTTGAAAGAGCTTAACGAGTGGAGTGTGTATACTAGATATTAAGTCTCGATCTTTCATAGTTCAAAAGTAATGGCGAAGGTTAAAGTTTGCAGACAAACAGACAGACAAACAGACAGACAGGACAAAACAATATACGCCTCGGATCTTTCGATCCGGGCGCATAAAATGAGTTTAAGGTCAAAGGAAAGGTAAACAAAAATGTTGATGCAGTTGCATAGCTCTCATTAATGTCTAACAGCATGTGAATTTTGATGAAAATATCTTAGTTTCTTTAAAATGAGCTTTGAACTGAGCTAAACGCAGTGTGACAAAAGGACAGAAGGAGGACCGGAAGGATGTAAGGACGGAAGACGGACATGACAAACACTATATGCTCTGGCCATATTCATGGCGGGGCATAAAAAGCATTCTTATATAGCAATCCGCAATTTTATACCTATCCGATCAATATGTTTACAGCTTTGCTTTATATTTAAGGACAAACTAATTCCATAGCTCGAAATATTTTAAGCCAAAGTTCAAGTGTTATCAATATTAAGTCTATATCAGAAAATTTCATCGAAAGCAACGGGAGTCCATAATACATGCAGGAAACGAAATTGATAACTTGAGTTATATTGGGTGTGTAGGAAATTCAACATTTTGATTGAATTTAATTCAGTGAGAAAATTTCCATATTTTCCAAGCAGAGTTACCCATCATCATATAAAAGTGAGATATTTAATTTTCACTTATCAAATTAAAATTGTAGATGTCTGAGCTTGACCCCCAATACCCATCGAGAGGAAGCTCTTCGTTTATCCCCACTTTGCACCTCAGGTGAAATCTGTGACTTCACACTAGAATACACTTTAGCAGAAAGGAATAAACGCCACTGAAAATGGACTCCATTAGAAGCTCACAAACGTAAGTTTTAATGACAAGAATTTATAATTCTAAAAACAATTTCTGAATCATCTGAATCAGTGTAACTTGTTGACAGTAAAATTGGTTTTAACTTTTTACACCACTGAATTAAAAACATATCCTTTACAAAATATGACACTTTCAGTTATAAATTTCACTATTTAAAAAATGAATGATTTAGTTGAGTAGAAAAATAACTGATTCAGATTAGGAAATTTTATTTTTATTTTATGACATATGTATGTACATGAATTTTTTTTTTATTATGAGAAAATATACACTGTCAACACTTTTTTTATATAAATAATGATTTAATAAGCTTATCAATTATGATGCATTTAATCATATTATAGATTTTAAAAAGTGAAAAATTAATAACATGTTTACGCGAATATAAATTCCACTTTAATCATTCTCAGTACTAAAGCCATACAACGCATATCAGAGTCGGTGTTTGTGGGACTGTGTCATAAAGTGGGGACCTCGCAACTGGTGGCCATGAGGAGAGATGTGGTGGACCTCAGGGATATGGTGATGAATCGAGGGAAAACAAATAAAGACCAAAGTGTGATGATAAGTGGAAGTTACAGAGAAGGCTTCCGACTGAAAGGATCAGATATGGACTTTATGCTCTGGCATAATGATCAGCGTATTATCTGGGAATTATCACAGTCTCAGTATTACGACACGAACAGACAATCACTGATCCTCTGTGACTGTTCTGATAGTCCACCAGGATTCACTTTGTTATATTTACTGTCACCTAGCATGGACAGAGACATGCTTTGGGTTAGTGTTAGAGTGAATAACAGATATTATGTATCTAGTTCTAAATACAGACAGATCTATCTATCTGTATTGTCACCTGAATTCATTCCACATGGACCCTGTGCCACTCTAACAACAGGAGCAGGGGAAATTGATAATGCCTACTGTTTTGTTTGTGACTTTTGGCCTCCATCTGCCTCCTCATGGATAGACAGATGTCACTCATGGCCCCAGCCTCATGTTGTTGATGATATAGTGAAAAATGGATGTCACTTTGTAGCAATTGGACACAAGCTAGGAAATCATGAAGATCATGAATGGAGAATTTCTTTCTCAAAGGCAGAACATAAACTTGTTTATGCTATGAATCACTGTCAATTCTTAACTTACGGTTTACTTAAATTGTTCTTATCAGAAATAATTAACAATGGACTAGATGATGCTGATAAATTACTGTGTTCCTATCACATGAAGACGGCGGTTTTCTGGGTGATTCAACAAAATACAATACCTCACTGGTGTCCACAAAATCTTCTGGAGTGTTTCTGGGTCTGTTTTAAACTCATCCTCAAATGGGTGTATGAGGGGGTCTGTCCTAACTTTTTCATTCCAGGCAACAACATGTTTTTGAGTAAAATTCACGGCGTCAAACAACATCAATTAAATATAAGACTGTCAGAGTTGTATGGGAAGGGTTTAGCATTCCTGCTACATAGTCCCTCCATTAGATCTTATATTATAGATGTCCTCCATAACCCCAGAAACTCCATCTGTACAGATGATCATACTCTGATTTCTGAGGTTGAGTTTGATAGATATCTGTTTAATGAATTACTAAATGATCGTCTAGGAACACCAGACGAATGGGACATACAAATCTGCATTAAATATCTACATATAATAGAACAGATGATAGGTTCACCCCTCCTGACACAGTATCAAGTCCTCAAGCTACAGAATATCCATTACTGCTTTCGTCCTTCAGAAAACTGCATTTATATTACACATGGAAACTTTCATACCTGACAACAAACTGAGGTATAGAAAAGTTATGACAAAATCTCCTGTCACATGATGAAATTAGCAGCCAGGTTTGGTTGTTTTACATACATGCTGTACCTAAAAATGTATTATTACAAGACATTTAGATACATGGAAGTTTTATCTATTACAGAGATGATCATTTTCAAGTCTTCACACCCATCTGTGTTAGGGTCAAATTTAAATACAGAGACGTATTCTGAGGCTCTAAGGGGGCGGTCCTGGTCTACAAAGAGAGAGACAGGCTGTATTATATTTGGGATATCAAACTTGAAAATAAAATCCATTACATCGGTGAACTGATACCAGAACAACAGTCTGCTCTACAGAATGACAGGTCTTATATGCATTAATGACGTCCCAGCCTTTATACTGTTATTCATGCTAGAGATCTTGTGCTACACACATATAGACACAAGGCGAGCACAAAGAGCTCTAAATCGTATACAGACCCTAGTTCACTATGATCAGGGACTATTACAGATTTAAAAGACAGAGACATATCGTGGCAGATTCTGGGGATCTGTCAACAGGTGACAGGGAACCTCCAGACTGCTCTGTACTCATACCAACAATCTCGCAGACAAAAACCGACCAACAAAATACGCACAGCTACAGAGAGAGAGAATAGAGAGAGAGAGCACAAAAAATTCCCCTTTAACACACATTAAGGTGTACTTGTAATATACCTCTGATAAGCGAGATAACTTTCTGAGGACTATTTACCATGAAATTCAATGAATCGTGTAGCCAGATTTTACAGAATTCCTTTGTTTGGTTTAAAATAATTTATTCAGCAAATCAATGACATATTACATAATAATGTGTACATTTTAAAATAAATTATATAACAATAACAATTTTTCTTTACAAAAAAGTATAAGTTAAAACATGAATGAAATCAATATGAATCGATGGACATTATATATTGCACTTTGACTGGCTTTATTGATGTACAAAAAGTATTGCTTTTATTTTCTGAAAATGAATTAAATTGATGTACAAAATATTTTATTTTTACATTTCAATATTGAAAGACTTTGTTTCATGGACAATGGATATTTATTGTATGAGAAATGATTAAACTGATGGATATAACTGAGGGATATTTTACCTTTTAAATTAAATTTCAGATGATATTTTTAGGAGTTCACCTAATAGAGAATAAGGAATAACTGTTGAAGTGATTTTTAACATGTCTAGGCGGCCTCTGTTTTTGGAGGATAGCTTTTATCCTCTAAAAACAGAGGATCAGAGGCCTTGTGCCACCTACCGTGACTTTTCAAAACAAAGGGCAGTCTACGCGGATTTTTTAACCAAAACAAAAAAATGGGAAATTTCATGCGATGATGGTTAAATCTAGGTATTAAGTTTGCTGTTCTGTGACCCAATTACAGAGGGCAGAAGACATTCCCTTCTGTATTAGCCTTGTATACTGTTGTATTAGCCAACTAAAACGGTCAAAAAATAAGTCTGATTCAATTTATCAAAAGCACGTACAAATATTAATTAAATGCTGATTTTTTTTCCCTATTATATATTTTGGAGAAATATTTTCCAAGCAATGTATAATTTCAAAATTTCTCAATTTTTTAAAATTATTCCTATATAACAGAATTTACACATTATATTTGACTTCCAATGGAAAAAATCGTATGTTGGATAAGTTCCTGCAAACATGATTGCTTTCCCAGCTATAATTGTGTCCCTTTCAAATAAAAGTAAATTCTATGGGTTGACGGATGCTACATACATTAGGTGAAATCCGCACCCCCTCCATTCTCCTCTTCTCGTGCAAACTCAATACAAGTCCCTTCTTAGCCCCCCTTTATTTTTTAAATTAATCTTTAAAAATCTCGTTTTAATGTCGCATTTCAATAACACAATAAAAATCTGTGACATCTAAGCCCTTTGAAGAACTGTCTGTATCTGTATCTAATTAAACTGAGATTTTAAGAACCCTGAAATAAATTAGGATCAATCTCCATCTACAACACGGTTAAACCGTCATCTCTATCAGTTAAGACTGAATAAAATTCAATTACGTCTATCCCGTTGACAAAACTAATCTGACTAAACACTTACTAGTATGATGTCCGTGGAAATATATGATGCACACTTGTGTCCCGTAGAGGCCTCATATCGGAAATTGGATGCTGCACAGCTATAAAGTGGGCGGCGGATGCTTTTTGTTGATTTCTCTGAATAATACTTTTCATTTCTTTAAATTGTTTTATTTGCTAAAATTATCAGGCAGAGTGTATTTTTTCTTTACAACACGTTTTCTTTTGTGTTTCCTTTTTCTAACACGGCATAATTTTGAATTAAATGAATATAATATTATGTATGTATTGTTTGAGCATTTAAGTGTCTTTTTATTTCTCTTAGAGGTAAAGGGGGATAGGGAAAAAACATAAAAATTAAACAAAATAACAAGAAATATTAAGTAGAAATGAATCGTAAGATGTGCCAACTTTGAAAGCGTTTTGTAAAAATTCTAGACATAGAATCTCAAATCGCCACATACAATCGTTTTAACTTTTATTTAATTGTACTCTGATGCTTGCACTTTTTGATTAAAGGTAGGCACGAGGCGTTTGAAAATTACCTGTGTTATCGTCTGAAAACAGAAAATAAACTATCCGACATTGAATTGCGGTTTCCATATCTGGTAAAAAATTTGCCGCCATATTGAATTTAGCGATCCTCCAAAAACGGAGGCCGCCCAGACCTGTTTAATGAAAATCTACTTTGTTCATACATTAAAAGAATTATAACAATTATATTTTTAGGAATGAAAAAATAGCCACCAGATTTATATATACGGTGTAAATTGGGTTGGAACAGCTTACGATTTTTTTAATATAAACTCCAGCGTTAACTGCCCAACTCAGTTTATACCGTATAAATCTGGTAGCTAAGAGGGATAATTCAGGTCAATTTTCACTGCATCGCTGTTTAAAAAGAAAGATATCTTTCCTAGTTTAATGCTCCTGTTTGATTTTACACTGAAAAAAGCAATTGAAAGTCACTGGGAAGACTAGTAAATTTACTGTCCATACAATCACAAATGTTATCCTTATTCTTAATCCTTAGGAAAAGTTGCAATCTTGTTGTGTATTAATGAGAAATATTTTAAAAACCTTTAATCCAGAAAAATAATTTTATTCAGAGTAGAAATGTTAGAAAGCAAAACTCCTTCACAAGTAAAGTCATTCCGAACTAAGAGTTGTGTACAGAGTTTAGCAATTCAAGCACACTCGTGTTATGAACAGTTTTTGTAAACATGGCACGAGTTCTGTTATTTGTTGGTGTTTACAATTCTCTGGGTGCGTTCAATCGTCACAGTCTGCTTACCACAACTACACGGACTGATAATATATTGTGTGTTTGTTTTGCTTTCGAACATACCTAGTCTGAATTTTATGGATTTTAGTATTGATATTTTTCATTTATACACAACGAGATTGCCACTTTTCCAAAGGATTAAGAACAGAATTAATTCGTGAAAGAGCAAGGATGAATCAATCAAGCCTGCCAAAAAAATTGAAGTCTTAATAACTTTTAAATGAAATAAGATTTTTAATTAAATTTTGTGTGAAATGCTATTAAAATATATAAGTCGTAATATTATAGAGAAAATAATAACTTCAAATCTGTGTCTAAGTACCTTTAAAAGTAGTTTTACCAGGTATTGGGTAGATTTTACTAGATAGCATTAGTAAATCTATGAATTTCTAAGTAACTTTCACTAGGTATTTAAGTATCTTTACGACCACTACTCCACTTTTCACTATCTTAGCTAGTAAACAGAGTGATTACTAATCACGAAGAACACTTTACTAGACACGCTAGTTAAATCAACTAGGAAATTCTTTCAGTGTACTTGCATGTGCATCATGATAAAACAGCTGAAAATAAGAACCTTAAATTAATTAAAACTTTCTGTAAAAACTTGTTTGTTTGACCTGATTAAGATGAACCGACTTAAATCTTTTAAAACCTTCAAATTATTCATTTCAGAATTTTCTCATGCAATCAACAACTTTTTTTAATTTCAGAAATGCTTTCAATCTTATTCAACATTTCCGACAAAAAGAAAAAAATCGACCTACCTACCGACGCAATTTTTTAAAACTGAATAGAGAGTTCTAGAGGGCAAATAAACTTCATTTTAAAAACGGCCTTACGGGAAATTTTAACCACCCAACCTTTTACATGTATTTCCGTGTTCCGTACTTCAAGGGTTCTTTGACCTTTTGATTAAAATATATTTCTGTGACATATTAAGAAAGTATTACATCTAAAAAAAAAATCCAAAATTTAAGCTAAAACTACTAGCCTGTTATAAAAATCCATACCCTCTGATACTAAAAGATGCTTCTGTCATAGAAATATATTTTAATCAAAAAGGTCAAAGAACCCTTGGAGTAAGGAACACGGAAATACGAGGGTTGTTAGAAAAGTTCGCGGACACATTGAATTACGGAAAATCTATTGTGTGCTGTGAAGTATGACCTATGTCTGAATGAATTCCTACATTTTGATTATTAGTATGTAAAAAATCAGGTCCATATAATAAAATCTTGAAATTTTACAACTATTTTTACTATGGAGTCATGGGATTCACGGAGCAATCACCTGACGTAAGCGACGTGACAACCATATTTCAACCCGTTAAGCTTTGTCGCAGTTATATTTATAAATCTTTCATTTCTTAGATTTTTCTCATCTTTTTTTCTACTTTAAAATTGAATATCTACATGTTACTTTTCTACTATAATGTCTTTTGTACTGATTCGTATATTATTGAGATCGTAAAAAATAAAAAAAAAGTCTATGCAGTTAATCGATCAGGTTTGGAAACTATGCAAAACCATATAGACGCAACGCAACGTCCATGCCATAAGGGGGTATTGAAGTATCGATAGTTAATCATTCAAAATGTCCCTCCTTCCATTCTTATGAAGCTATAACCATTTGAA